CTGTCAAAAACAGCAAATATCGTGCATGCACTGTCAGCAACTGATACTTGCAATATTTCAGGTTTTGGTAGCATGCTGACAAATACTTTTAGCCAACACTAAAAAGGTTGAACCCTCATGACGTAAATGATTGAAGGGGCTTCTCGAAAATGAACAAAAGTTACTAATAGTTTAAAATATATCGAGGAAGCAAAAACTATAGACTTAATTGCAAAATATTTCATAAAAAAATACTTAAATTTTTAATAATTATAATTGTCAATTTTCAGTTTGGTATTATTAAAAAGCATACAAACGCTCCTAAGCGTCCTCTCATTTTTAAATTTCACAGTACCTACACATTTTCGCCCCTCATGCAATTATTTTTTGCCCTTAGTATAAAAGATACTCGAAACATGAATGCACGTAATTTCATTACAACGAAGTTCTTTTTTGTCGTTTCACCCTCCTTTTTTCCGTTTAAAAATGTTTGTATGCCGATGAGTACCTACTATTCTTTTGGAAAAGTATAAATGATGATTTATCTCAATCAATTTTTATTATTTCTAATGAAAAATCTTCTCTGATCACTAAAATAGTTGCGATGGTATTTTTTTGATAATTTATTTTAAATGATTGACCCGTTGCATTAAATTTATTGACATAATGCCCTATGGATTTATTTCCTGCTACCAAATAATGTTGTATAAACAGAGATACGGTGAGCTTAAAGGATTTAAAAAAATATTACAGTTTTTAAGGCAATTCTAGGAAGTTTATTATAGGCAACTTATTTTGAATTTTAGGAATTCTTTAAAACGATGGTAAATGAGCATTAAAAACTGATTCCGGTTTAGATTGACAAAATTTTTGGAATCGAAATCTTTGTTTTCAGTGATCAAGACCCACAAACCAAGTCTAATCTCATCAACAAGTCGACAACAGTATTTTATTCTCAATCGTAAAATCATGCATGTGTACTAAAATTATGGTTTGTTCGTCAAATCTACAAAAAGTCAATTTAATTCAGTATATTTGTATATTCTTTTGCTTCAATTCTCCACGCAATTTCTGTTTTATGTCGTTTAAGATTTTATCAGCAAAAATTTATACTCGTGTTTGAAATTGCTGATAAGAAACATTTAATGTTATTTTTTTGCAAAAAACATGCTTTTAAGCACATTTTTATAGTGCACACAATTTTGAAGGTATTCAAGTTTGAACATAAAATTTAATTCCTATAATTTTTATTCAATAACGAAATCCGATTAAGTAAGGTCTTGTGTTTAATCAGTTGATTATTGTTTGATATTGTGTCTGAATCGTCTTTTAAATATTCAATAATTTAAGCTATTATCAGTCTAAGGCACAGGTCAAGTGTGCTGTTAGAAATTTAGAATATACCACGAACCGTATGCTGTCTGCAGTTTTTAACATAGCTAATCACCTTATAGTGTGCCGTGACACAAAAAAGGTTGGACACCACGTGGTTTGAAGTCATTCGATGTTTTTACGATTTCAGACTGAGTTATTATATTTTGTGTCAATTAAGAGATTGCGAACTCAAACTTGAAGCTCCGTCCTCGAGTGAAACAAATAAGCAAATGATTGAATTAAGAACTTTTTATGCGTTCCAAATAAATTCTAGTAATCTTAGCAACATAAGAAGTAAGAAGTAGCAACTATCGTGAAATGAGGTACCTTTAATATTTGTTGTAATGATTCCTGCAATAATTTTGAGTACCAGTTCAATATTTAAATTGAAAAGAAGCTAAAATCAACAGGAATTTGATTGATTTTTCAATAATCATTTCCAACTTTCTCACATTTTAAAAAAAAAATTTTGAAAAAAATTATTTTTCTGGGTCCAGTCAAATTAACCTATTTCACTTTGATGATTGCCCCTTAGTAAGGTCTGAGTTTCTGATTTTTACTTTTGCGACAATTACCCTAGCTATGTCACTAAGCATTTATATTTGTCCTTACTCAAACCTTATTTTCATCATCGCAATGTTATTAATAGTATTTTTAAAAACGACTTTAAGTCACAATATCTGGATGTATTTTCTTATATTGCTCACTATTTTTATTGAAATTCTTCTGTATTTTTCAAAATTATATAAAACCTAGCCAAAAAATCAATTTATTTATCTTTAAAAACCAAAATATGTTTTAAAAATTTTCGAGTATAAATCTCGATGAACGCACAGAATTACCCGTAGTTCCATTTTCTCTCTGTCATAAACTCATTCGCTTTATTTGGCTTCAATATAACTTTCTATTACGAACAAAATAGAAGCAAACAAGAAACTTTTTCCGTATCACATGTTTTAGTCTAGTAGAACTTGTCGGTCGGTTGTTTCGTTTCATGTAGAGGAACTGACATAAAATATAAACCGAGAAACCGACACAAAACGCAGACGCGAAGAATTTCTTATCGATTTTATCTTCAACAAGTTCTTTTAGATTTAACTTGAAGTATGGAGGAGAAATTAATGCTTGTTGCGGCACAATAAAATCAATTTTTAAGAGTATAAATTTTTGCATTCTTTTAGTTGTGTTAAGAGTTATGTAAATTTAATGGATCTTTGATGCTTGTCGTTTCTCAAGACATGATATTTTTTAATTTATTATTTAAAAATTGTGAAAGTGGAAAAAAACGTGACTGCACAAAAATTTTCAATTAACAGCCAATTGTTATTTTTATAGCTTGTTTTTTTCGAGCTATAAATAAAATCAATAAATGCATGGCAGGGTAAAAAACTCGTCTGAAACCTTGATTATATTCATACTTTACATCGGAATTTGTGATGATAATTTTTTTTAATATTTATCGCTACATCGATTAACACACCCGACTTGACGAAATCATGAAAACGAAAGGTCATAAAGAAAATTCGATGACATGCGATTTTTTTATTTATTTAAAATTCTATGTGAGCTCCTAATTTGTCATATTTTTAAATTTGTTTTATAGAATTGTTTACTAAAGACGTAAGGTTAAAAAATGTATTTTTGGTAAGTACTTACCCGTTCCTCCTCCCTCTCTTGATACAAATTTTTTCAAAAATTCTTTTCTTTTTGAACACATACCCCCCCCCCCCCCCCCCATTTCCTCCCTCAACCATTCCATTTTTTTTAAACGATAACTTAATAAGAGTACAAACCCAAAGCTGTTTTATGATTTAAGTTATAATTAAATGAATTTGCTTTTTGTAAGATAGGATAGGTTTTGCCTGTTAATTCTTTAAAATTAATTAAAACGCAAAGCAAACAGCAATAAAATTGACTAATGAGCTTGAAAAATTGAAAAGCTATATTGATTAAAATGACGGTAATAATAGTAAAAACTCAGTATTATTTAAGATTTAAAACAAACGAAAGGTTCTTTTTTGTGTGACTTTTGTGGTTAACTTACAAAAGACTTAATCATTAAAAATGCCGGTTATTACATTTTAGATAAGAGATGAAATGTTTGAAGTGTGGTTTTAACAAAGTACTCATTTAAAAATATTGTTTTGTGTCACTGATTCATAAATTAAATAAATTATGATTGAAAAGAAGTTGTAAAGATATTAATATTAAGTAAGTCCATTTTTTCAAATAAATACTAGTTTTAATTTTCTTATTTAAGTACTGAAGAATTTTTTCAATGGTTTCTATTCACTGAAAACTTTAAGATATTAAATTGAATAACTTAGTGGTTTCCTCATAAACCTTTTCAATAGAAATAAGACAATGTTGTTAAGTTTCAAAAATGTATTGAGAAGCTCTTCATATTCACGGCAACCTCCATATTGTTTTTTGAGTTTTTGACGGCAAACTTGAAAAATTGCTTAATTTCTATCTTAAACGTTAGTTTACGAGTTTTAAACTACACAAGAGCAAAGATTAACTTAAATTCTTTCATTTCTTTATCTCTTTATCTCTCAGAAATATAAAGAATCGATTAAATTTATAATAAAATAAAATAAGTAAATCTAGAAGAACTTGCTCGAAACAAAATGAAAAATACAAGTATAAATCTATGAGAACTTGCAACAGTCGATGAAATGAATTAATTGCGCTTCTTTTCTTTTTTGAATTCTTTTATTTGTAGTTGATTTTGTTTTAAGAATACTCTGAGCGTTGTTTGAATCTCATAGATCTTGATTTGTATTTTTTGCTTAAAAAGTATTAAATAAGAATTTGAAATTATTAAAGTCGAATTAGTTGCTTCATATGATTTTTATTCTGATAAGTACTATGTCAAATATTTGTTGTATTATTTTGCCGTTTATTTAATTTAAGCAAGTAAAACTTTATTATTTTCTACTTACAAGGGTCTATGACTCGTAAAATAATAAAATTAGTAAGGGGGGAGGGAGGGGGGGGGGGGGTAGTGTAATTTTTTTGGGTAAATTTTTTTTTGTGTTACTTAAGAAATGAAAGATCCTAAGCAGCATGATCTTCAAATCTATGGCGCCAAAGTTTTATGTGTTATTGGCATTTTTTGTGCTAGTTTTGAAACATTTTGAAAGATGTTATTTGACATCAACATTATAATAAATTTACAGCAATAAATGCATAAGCATAAGCAGGCATAATATTATATACATATTTTACAGCTCCAAGCTTTACGAAATGCTGCATATCGCTGAGTAAAACAGCATAAATATTTTATAATGTGCAGCGTAAATTTTCTCTACTCCGTGTGCAGTCGCCATTTTTGTATACGTTTCTTTTTCTTGCTAGAATGTTCGAATAAGACCAGTTAGTTCTAATAAGAATCTGTTCGAAAAAGTGATTAAAATTATTGAAGAAATATTTGCATGACGTGTATGATGATTTTGGCTTTATGTTGCACACACACTGACGAAATAAGTACATACTTTTCTTCACAGCTTACTTGTACTTTCTTCATGATTATAAAACTCGATAGTGCACACAGCGGTACACATAAATCATATTTTAGGTCATGAGAATGGAAAACCGAAAACAATCGAATTGCTTCATATGAACTCATTGCTGAAAGACCAAATGTGTAAAGAATTTCATAAGCTCTTTTCAAGAAGAAACAAATAGTAATTAATTATATTATATTATTTTTTTTTTAATAACTTTTACATACACTAGAAAATTAAAGATTAATTACACAAAAAATATACAGAAATGGATATACGTATTATTATGTATACATAGAATCAATTAGATATTTATCACGATGGTTGAAGAGACTTAGATGATAGGCCAAAAAATCAGACATTTCGTCTATCGTTGAGTCGAATTCTGTTGATGACATTTGTTGCTGCAATTTGGCTTGAGTTGAACAGTTGAGTGATGAAGAGGTGGATGGTAATTTATCATCTTTGTCGATATTCTCAACAGGAGATTCTACATGACATGGTGACTCATTCGTTGCATGCGGCGTAATACGCATTTTTAGAAAGGCTTCCGATGTGAAATCTTCTACGTTCTTAATTAATTTATCATCATTCTCATTATTAGTATCTACATTTTTGGATAGTTTAGCATAGCAACTACCAATTAATTTTAATCGTGCTGGTTTTATAAGGTTACTTCCTCTCCTGTCTTTTGTTTTAATCTTGCTTATCGAAAGTTCCAGTAATGATGACCTGATTCCCGTAGTTGATGAACAATTGCATGATTTTACTACTGGCTCTTCAATAGATTTTAATGGAATCTCTTCCAATCTGAACTTTTTAAATTCCTTTTCCAACTCAATATCTGTATCTGACATCTTTTTGGACTAAAAACTTCTTTAAGCAAAAAATATTGGGAAATTTTCATTTCAAAACAAAGAAATTATTAAAATTAATAAATTAGCTTACTGTTTCAAGGTGAGCTTTAATATCTTCAACTTCTATGACTAAATATACTATCGATTGTTTGCTTTGAAAGCTATTTTGATCGAAATATTGGACTATTTAAGCGCGAAAACACAAAATATAATTAATTTTCTTTTATTTACTCTGCAAATTTTTTCGAGTGTGTTTACAAATTTATTTAAATATATTTTAACCGTTGAACAAAATCACAGTTCAATCAGTCGCACAGTTTTCACCTTCTTTACAGATCTTTCGGCACTTCTTATAGCTAGACTCTTTCCATGAAGTGTGATTCTAAGATTATTCCATTTAAGCTCGAATATTGACACATTCTTAGGAACAACTAAAAGAACAGATAATAAAGGATTTGGAAAGCAATAAAAAGCATCAAGTAAGACTTACCTCTCATCACATTATCCTTACAAATTATACTAAATGTTCCTTTGGTATCGAGTATGATGATTCCTTTAATGCCTACAGAACTAATACATTTTGACTGTACAACCTTTACTTTTGCCCCATGAAGATCACTTTTATGCACCAATCCACTAAAAACAATAAATTCTATTAATTAAATTATCATTCAATAAACAATTCCAAGTAAAGTATTTACCTAGTTTGTTCATAATTAGAGCTTGTCACGTCAATTCTCTTCTGTAGCTGTTGGATATCACTGCCAAGCTGTTGTTCCATATATGAATTCCATAAACTATTTAGCTCTTTATAGTCATCATATTTCAATGTCTTTTTCGGTAATGAATATAAGCCTAATTCCTTCATTTCATTTCTGGACAGTCTCTTTTTCTGTGCCTGTAACTTTTTTGGTTTTTTGATTTTCTTCTTGAAATTAAGCATTGCTTGATGTTCACCAAGTTCCTGTATATTACAAGACTTCTTCTCTCGTGGATGAATGAGATTTTCGATGACATTTTGTACTTCTAAAATTAAGATAATTAAATCGCTGTGCTTGTTAATATAATTAATACTTTTCTTGCCTGTTTTCTTTAAATCCATTTTAATGTGTTTTATGTTGTTATTTTGAGTACCGAGCAGCACACTCATGTGCTGTCGATCAGAAAAGGTTTATGGAATTGAAATATGATTAGCAAAATGTCAATAGCACGCATGTGTTTGTCGGGTTTGTTTACATTGCTGTAGTTTTCAGCAGGGCTAGTCAGTAAAAAACAATGTTGCGGAGATTAAGAACATTTAATAAAATTTATAATTCATACAGAGCAGTCAGTTGTTCAGCATGGCTTAAAAGAAGTGATGAAATCATTAGAAAGAATGACGATATATCATCATCAGTTGCCACAAAGTTTCAAGTATTCAGGAATGAGTCTGTCGGTGAAATTCTTGACATAGAAGAGGAAAGAGCTAAATTAAGGCAGCAACAAGAGGAGCAGATTGTTGATATTGATGAAACAGAAGTTGAAGCACTTCCATCGATCTATTCGGATCTCAATCTAGAAAGTAATTTATACAAAAATAAACATTTTAATTAACTTAATTAATAAGAATGGATCGCTTTTTAGGAGGTAAAACTGGAGTATTTGACATTGAGGACTTGGTTGAGTTGCTTAACAGAGAGAATGCAATTGATTTGTGTGTAATAAAAGTACCAGAACAATATTCGTATGTTGATTACATGGTAATTGTCACTGGATCTACATACAGACACATGCTTGGAATATCAAGTTTCGTCCGAAAAGTTTTTAAGTTAAAAAGAGGCAAACATGATCCGATCCCGAAAATTGAAGGCAAGAACTGCAAGAATTGGATGGCTATGGATCTAGGAAATATAGCATTTCATGTCTTTTCAAAAGAGTCGAGAGAATATTATAATTTAGAGTCATTGTGGCTATTAGGTGAGGAATATGAGAGAAGAATTCGAGGAACCGATCAATCACAATCAGACAGCCTGTATCAAGAATTTTTCGTTGACTCAAAGACTCTAGCTGAAAGAGATAATAAGGAGAAAAATTTATTTAAAGACACTGACAAGGAGACTTAGTATATAGCTAATTGTACTTTAACTTAGAAATAAAGAATTGATATAAAAACAAAAGTTTTGATTTGACTATTAACACAGCTTATGCATGTGAAGTGGACAAAATTATTGATAACTTTAACGGATTTTGAAAGTTTCCAAATTTAATTTGAAAAAAATAACGGTGTGAAAGTTTTTAAAATTATGCGAAAAATTACCCCGCGAGTAAAAAAATTCTTTGAGAGTTAAAAAACATTTTAATTAAAGTTTTTGAGTGTTTCAACCAGTAAAATCAATTATTAAGCAAACTAAGCAAGTTAAATAGATGAATAAATGATTAGGAAATAACAAATTGTTAGTGAAACGTGTCAGGAATACGAGAAAGCTGCAATATAAGAAAAATGGAAGAAAAATCATCAATTTACCAAGAATATACACAAATTAATGAGAAAAATCAATGGTTTATAGTTTATCAGGTTATTATATAAAGTTCTAAGAATTTTTTCGTATTTAAAACCCGATTAGCAAGCAAATCTACTGGATTTTATTATCTTCACATTGTAAATAACACAATTATTCATTTAATTTCATTATTTGTAGAACATAAAGGACGCAAGTGAAGCAGAAGCTAAAAAATGTGAGATTTTTAAAAGAAATAGACTTCAGACACTTTATTACATCCTTTTGTTCCTTTTGCAGGCAATTATTCTATTAATGAATCGAAAAAGTCCAATAACAGAAAATTAAATAGGTAATACATTCATAATCCAGTCACAATGCAATTCTTAAACTACGTCTAATTTGTATATCCACAGATATCGTGATGTTAATCCATATGATCATTCAAGAATTACTTTAAAAAGACAGACTATTGATAGTGATTATATAAATGCGAATTTGGTGAAATTAGATCGTGCAAAGAGGCAGTATATATTATGTCAAGGACCTCTGGAGCATACAGTCGGCCATTTCTGGCTTATGGGTAAGAGCAATTAATCTATTGAAATTCAAAAATATTTTTTTTCCTTATGAACAGATGTAGCATGCAGCTACAAATTCATATCCGATGAATCATTGAACAATTTGCATTGGAATTCTGCATGCATTTCATATTTTTTTTTTCATTTATACTTATTGCTTTATTCACAATTTGTTACAGTGTGGGAGCAACAATCGAAGGCTATTCTAATGCTCAATAAGATAATAGAGAAGAAACAAGTAAAATGTCACCTATATTGGCCGAAGAAAGAAGGACAGCGACTTAATTTGCCTGACGTTGGGCTAACGGTAGAATTTGTTACAGCTGAGAACTATAAAAACTTTTCAAAACGTCTGTTTCGGTGAGTTTTTAGTCAAACAATAGTAATAATGAAATATAATAGTATAATTAACATTTTAAATGAATCATCAAAATACAATTTATGACAAAAAAAAAACGTAATGCATTTCCTTAGAGTTACTGATGTGGAATCAACAAAGTCGAGAGAGGTCATACAATTTCACTACACTCAGGTACGACAATGAATATCTTTTCATGCATATTGCACTCTAATTGTTGAGATTTTATTTCATATTAAATACCGAATCATTTGTAATTCCAACAGAATTCTTTTTTTCATTATTTTAACAGTGGCCTGATTTTGGTGTCCCAAGTTCTCCCATCGCATTTTTACAGTTTCTTAAGCAAGTTCGTGATTCCGGGGTTTTGGACGAAAATGTTGGCCCGCCAGTTATTCACTGCAGTGCAGGAATAGGTCGTTCGGGTACATTTTGTCTGGTTGATTGCTGTTTAGTTCTGGTAAGCATTTACTTTATGATTTATGTGCATTTACTGAATGAATTAGATGTGGTTTAAAATATCTGAATTGTTACCTGTCAATTCATTAACTTGGATGTTAATTAAGTGATAGATTTAAAGCCTTTCTTGTCGATTCTTAATTTGTGTGCCATGAAAAAATTGTTCAAGTCCAGTAAAATGCGCATTATTCAACTAGAACAATTCATATACATGTTATTAATGGAAGCATTTTCTTTATTATGTTCACCAAAAAAAAAAACATTATGTAGATTGATAAAGAAGGTGAAAATAGGGTGTCAGTTCAAGATATTCTTCTGGAGTTGCGCAAATATAGAATGGGATTAATTCAAACATTTGATCAGTTAACATTTTCGTATGAAGCCATCATCGAAGGAATGAGGCGAATGAATAATGATGTAAGTGTTTCTTTTCTTCGAATTCACAACATGCATAAACAAAATACTGATAATGGAATTTTTCTTCTCGGAACTCTATCTCCCTACAGACATTTAATGATTTGGACAATTTAGAAATTGCGACTGGAAGTGATGAAGAAACTGAACAATCCCCACCGCCGATACCACCAAGAACATCATCATTTGTACCAAGAACTTCACCACCACAATCTGAACCACGTCAACCAATTACTATATCTGACTCAAGTGAGTCGACATCGTCAGATGCATCAGATATACGAGAGGATACAAGCAGTGATAGTGATGATACAACTGAAGATGATAAAATAAATATTCATTGTAAATCGAAAGATTTTGATGCAAATTCGAGCTTGCCACCGATTCCAAATGGAACTTTAGACTTGACATCGCCAGATAAGCAGCAGAAATTCAGTTCTGACGAAGAGAAGTATGTTTTCTATTATTATATGGTGATATGTTTTTGCTGATCTTTTGAATAAGGAATTGAGTTTTTAACGACTTTAAAAAATTTAAATTTTAACAGTTTTCAAAAATTTGAACGTTATGACAAAGTTCAAATTTTGAACTTGTTTAAAATTCAAAATTCTAAAAACCGTTGTGTTATGAATTGTTTAAAAGCAGTTTCTAATTTGAAAAGATACGTGCATAAACTTCAATACAAAATTCTTGCCTGGCATTTATCTCACAAAATCTTTAATGCATCCTTTCAGATCACCATTGTTAAGTGACAATAACGTTACCCCGAACAACATTAACAACAATAGTGAAGTGCGCCATCGCACTAGAGTGGCTCGAAATGAGGCAATGCAGGACAAGATAAGGGAAATTAAGCGCAAACAAAAAGAAACCGAGAGCAAAAAAATATCATTGCCGAAAAAACGCAGGTCACTTTTAATTCTATCCGGTGTAATATTAGTTTTGTCAGTTTTCGCCTATGTTTATGTGAAATCTTAATAATTTTTCTCTTTAATTTCATTTTTAAAAACCCCCCTTCTTTTTATGAAACGGTTAAAAATCAATCGATCACATTGATTTCTTATTTTTTTCCATCCCTATAATAATTTTTTCCTCATTTTTTTTTTTGAGTAGCGAAATGTGATCTCCTCACAAATTTTTATTATCTTTTAATCAATTTCAAGAAAAAAATATATATGGAGAGACACTTCTGTATAATAATATTGAGATCGTCTTAATATTCCTAACTATGCTTTTATAATTAAAATAATATTAATTTATTTTATATTTTCCATTTTTTAAGTTGTTCTTAACATTTATTTTTCTTTAGAATCTAAACCAACACAAGACATTATCTTTAAAGAATCTTTTTTTTAAATTGCCGTATGCATGATATTTCTCTATGAACTTATTCTTTCCCAAACGTCTATATATATTTATATATTTGGTTGTAAGCCATTTTCTTGGACATCTTAATGTTTATGCAAATTTAATTGTTGTTAATATTCAAAAGGTTTCTTTCGAGTTGGTTTTATTATAAAAGCTTAACAAGTCAGGTTGTGTAATGTACCAAAAAAGATAATCATTTGCTTTGTTTGTGGAATTTCTTTTAGTTTTCAATTGTTTATTTGTTGAAAGTACAAATTATTACAGACTTAGCTAAATGAAATGAACCTGAAGCAAAAAGCAAACGTGCAGCTATTAAAGATTTTCTCATAGAAGAATTCATGACCTACAGTTTGTGAGACTTAATTTTGATAGCTGGTTTTCCAATAATACTTTCAAGGCTATATTTTTGTAAATATTTAAATGATGAAAGTCATCAAAATCCAACACTTTGACTAAATATCCAAATGTTTATTTTTTTTTGGAAGAGATTATAAAATAAACGTAAACAGTAAACAGTTTTAGTGTTGAAAGAATCTGATGGGGGTTGTTGAACTTAGTTTACTGAATTTTATGCACTTCCGCAATGAATGTTCAAGGATTATAAGATAGCAATTATGTTACAGTGTTGTTCATCCTGTACAAAGAACGTAACGAGCTTTGGTCATTATTTTTAAGATTTAAATCAGTGATATTGAATGGTTTATTTAGAATTGGCTGCTATATTAGAAGCAAGCTTAACTTAAAATTTGCCACGACTAATAACAAGTCTTTCGTTCAGCTGCTAAAGTACAAATTAGTTTTGTTAGGTTTGTGCAGCTATAATAAGTTTCTTTCCTGACCTTACTTAAATGTGGGAATCTAAAAAATTGCAAAAAAACATTTCAAAGAAAGATGTCCAAGAATTGTGTTTAGAATCACAATCAGTGTACACAAAATGCATAATTTCCAAATTAAGAAAATGATTAAAATTGAGTAGTTGAGAATTTAACGATGTTTGGCATAAGATGTAAACTTATGTGAATAATTAATATAGTGAAAAAATAGAATGGCGTTTAAATGAGAAAATATTAACTAATGAAACTATGTACAACTTTCTTAGGGTCACAGAATATTTATATATATCCTACTGAAAAGAAATATTTTTAACATAACATACATGATCTTTAGAGAATCCTTTTAAATCAACTAATTCCCTTTTAGATGCAACGAAGAAAAATAAATGAAATTTTTTATATACTATGTATGTTATTCTATAAACTTTTTATATGAAGATGAAACTGAAGTCATTTTGCTTTTCTACTTTAAATTTCTTCGTACAAAAAACAGAGTTGGCAATCAATGGTCAGTTAGCTATCGATTTTTCTTTCAAAGTTCCAAACTTAATTTTAATTTAAAAATTCTATTTTCTGGTTTTGAAAAACACGATTTATAAAATTTAAGCTAAAGATTTGCAAGGAATGTCTAATGATTTTAGGTTTATAGGATTATGAACCAACTTACTTCCTGGATAATCTTAGTTTAATGCTGTGCGCAGCCTCTGACATGCCAACTCTGTAAACATACGACTTATTTTCCGGCTATTTTATTATTTTGAGTTTGTAATTTTCTTTATATTGACTTATTTTTCCGATTTTAATTGACTTAAAGAAGAATATTCCAAGTTTTTATAAAACAGAGAGATAGAATGAAAAAAAAAACATTTCAAAATATTTTTGATAGAAACAAATTGTATATTTTAATAGTATTTTTTAAGTCCTTTTAAAACGAATGACTAAAAGTGAGATGAAAGAAACGAAAAGCAAAAAAACAAAATACAAAACCAGTGTTCTTTGAGTAATGTAGAAGAAAAGAGAGCAAAACATTTAAATTTTTTCTTATTATTTCCTTCTGAAAGTCTTCAGAGAACTTAATTGACGTGAAATCAAAATTTTTAAGAGAAAAAGCTATTTACATGAGAATCATTTTCTGTTTTTTAAAAGTTTCTTTGAAAATATATGCTTTGTGGTTATTCAAGTTAAGAAAATTAGAACCAATGAAACATTTATGCGCATTTTTAAGATTTTTTGATTTTTTGTCAAACTTAAAATCTGACGAATTTTAACTTTTTCAAACAAATTCATCAAAAAAGTTTGATCAACTCAAAAATCCATTCTAAAGCTCAATTTTGTGCAGTAAAATCATTAAATCCAGACAGATAATCAAACTGAGATCATTATCATGCTGGCAGATTTTTTTTGTAGCCTTAAAATGCATAAGCTTGTGTGAATTTATCAAAGCAAAATTCTGTAAAATGCTCAATTATTTCAGCCTTTTTTAAAGAAACTTTAAATAAATATAAAAAGATTTTCAACTTTGGGGTCTTCATAAATGACGTTCTTTGAAATATTTCGATTCCCTTTCCATAAAGTTAAAGAAAATGTTACAAATCGTCGGATCCTTTGTCCAATATTAAATGTTGAACGTCAAAAATGATTGAGCCCACCTCGAGTATAAAATTAATGGAAAGAAACAAACAAACACTTAGTTTCATAGAAGAAGAACTTTTAAGACAATTACAGTTCATGTTAAAACCCTTGAATAAATATTGATAAAGATAATAATGATATGATAATGGTAATATTTATATGTAGAATATATTGATGATGAAGATGATTGATAGCTAGATAACATAGACTCATAGACTCATTTTTATTCATTTCCTTTAACTGATAATGAATTCTTTATTATTGTTTCAATTAAAAAAAAAACAATTTACCTTAATTTTCTACTTTTTTTTTAATTTTTTCTATTTCGGGACGATTTGAATGAGATTAAAGATTGAGAATAGAATGAAAGTGTTTTTAATTGACTAATTAAAGATCCCAAGCTTTACATGACTGAAAAATGAAATTTTATTAGATTCGGAAATGCTGTTGACTGCAACAGCCATCCGAAGACGGATATAATTTTACTTTGCAGTGATGTTCTGCACGGGCGAAAAGATGAAGCCTGAATTCAATTATTTTTTACAAAATTGATTGATAAAATGTACGAATTAAATTATGTTTAAAGTTTTCAAAAAAAAGTAACAGAAAAAAATCTATAATATGAATGAAAAAAGAAAAAAAAATATTAAAAAAATAAGATTTGCTTTTATTTTGAATCTTCTTCTCAAGTTCTTTCTATTTCTTTTGCAGACAAGCTACAAATGCACTGGACAAATGATATTTCTTTCGGCCATGGAAAATTTTCTTTATGTGTCAAATTTAAAAGCTCACCAACTCATGAAAGAAATAAATTAATAACAATAATAATAATTATCTTTATACGATATATAAAAAAAAAATCATTATCGATCGCGGGGGTCGTGTAGAATTAACTGATTCATCATGAATAACAGACAAACAACATAGCATATATGCAAATAATAAGAGAGGAAAAAAGTTTTTAAAATACCAAGACTGCAATAATACTTTTACTTACCTTTTTCTACCTATATTCCATAATATTTATTCATTAAACAAGTGAACTCTTCTCATAAAAGTTAAAAATACTAATATATAGATATACTTTATGTTCATTTTTAAGAATATCAAGATGAAATTAGCTCATTTATTTCATACTTAATCAGGACAATGATCAAATAATTAAATGTCATAGAATTTTGTATCTTTGTAATTTGTTGAGGACATTAGACCTCTGTTTACTCTAATTAGCTGACATTGTTGTAATCATAATTGATGATATTGACATCAAATGTCTGCTAATTTATAATGTTTTATTGGTCAAATATCTTCAACTATATTTAATTATAGATTTTCTATGTTTTTTGGCAATCTGTGAATAAAAAAAAATACAAGTTAAAACATTTAACGAACATTGAAATTTTAAAACATTAAAATTTAAAAAAAAAAAACAGTTTTCCGTTAAAATTCAGAAAAAGTTCGTTAAAAAGATACTTAACTCTAAATTAATATGAAAAAAATATGTTAGAAAATTAAATTGTATTGGGATCGTTCACAAACGACGTCCAAAATTTAGAGGGAAGAAAAATCCTAAGCTGTGTAAAGCTTCATAAACATTTTTATTATGAAGATTTTGTGGGGTTAAGAAAACTCATTTTTTGAAAGACGTCATTTGGTAATGACCCCTTGAAAATTTGATAATTTCTCCTATTTGTTAGTTGCAATTACTTTAGATCTTTTGAAAATGTTTCTTTCAATAAATTCAGATCATGTAGATTCAAATTAATTTTTTAGTAAATTAAACTTCCTTTTCATGTTGGTTCGATTTTTCATCCGAGTAAGATTTTCAAGAAGATACCTTTACTTAAAAAACAAAATTTTCTCAAATAATTTAAAAGTATTTGTCCATTAAACAGCATTTACAATATTTTCATATATCCAGCCATAACAAAATGTATCAATATGATCAGGTAAGCTATTGCTTAAAAATTTAAAATACTTTATAAAAAAAACTTTTTAAAAAAACTACGTTTTTCGCGTAGACTAAAAAGTAGAAAATAACTTTTATTCTTGGTTGTAAAGAATTTGGTTTTAAATTTTCAGATTATATTTAATAAATTTTTATATTCTAGTCAATATTGTTCACAAAGTTTCGAATAAGTGCATTTTGATCTTATCGTATAACTCAACAACTTAAAAACGTGGGCGCATTATAAGAGGAGAAATAAGTTTATGTGAAATCAATACTTTATGATAAACTTAAATTAATGCGCCCACGTTTTTAAGTTGTTGAGTTATACGATAAGATCAAAATGCAC